ATGGAGAGCTCTTCATTAACTTACTTACTAGTTTTTTTTTTTAATTTTTTATTATTGTTTGCACAGGTTACGCCAGTATCATCGGCAAATTTCTTATGAAGTTTCAACCATTACCTGCGAGAAAAAAAAAAGCTGCCTTTTTACCTTTACAGTTTTTTTGTTTCGAGCCAGCTAAGCAACAGTAACTTTTGAATATACCAGCCGTCAATTTCTGTCACCAGAGTCAAGTACGCGGTTGCAAACAATTCAAACAAAAGAATGTACTTCCGCATTTATGCGTTTCTTAGTGCCCTCCTTCTCAACGACACTTGGTGAATAAGCTATCAACTCAATCCCAAATGCGGCGGATAAGTTGCAACTGCGAAATTCCCTTCTTCATTCAATTCCTGGTATTATCCATCCACTTGATTTATCCTACCATACGTCTCCTTATTACCACTTCCTTGTTTTGCCTTCAGGGGTTCGTTTCTTGAATGTTCCGGTAGCTTTCGAACCCGCAGAGCTGGTTTATGTTTGCTACGACGTGTTTGCTTTCAAGATCAAAATGTCAATAATTTTGAAAACGATACAATGAAACTCTCAGTTAACGAAGCACAGTGACTGGTTTGTGATCCAGGAGATGTACTAAAACTCAACAGGTTTCGATTCTAGAACTTTAACGGGTCTTATGGAAAACGGGCGGCCTGGGCCGGAGTAACACTATCTTTTCAAGATGTGGTAAGACAGTATATGTGACCCCCCGCGTACAGTTATTAGCTATCTTCAAGAATGCTTTGCAGGAAAGCCGGTAAAAATCACAGATGAAAACAGTAGTGCTACATTTTATGTTTGGAACTCAATGACTGTGAACAATCTTTTGTTTTTGTTTACAAATTCTGCCTGAATGAATTGAGATTGGCCACTGATTTATTGGGGGGACAGGGGATCCAAACCTCCCCCTTCCTTGCTTTAAATTCCCGCCTCCCCAGACTTTTTCCTTGGCTTCCTTCCTTGAGTCTCGATTTAGCTCTTGTAGTTTGCGAAATATTGAGTATTGTTGCGTAATTTCTCCCTATTTGCCCCCGCCCCCCCTCAATTTCCCACTCTTTTTAGAGCTCGCACCTCCCGCCCTTTCCTCTCCCTCCTCTCGTACCCCTCCCACCCGTTATTCGCCCGGGCCCCAACCCCCTGACCTATTTGACTTGAAAAAAGCCTAACAGGCCTCATAACCATTGCAGTATATCATTTGTCATTCATGTTAAGCTTGTTAGTCCGAAATTGGTCGTATTTCATCAATAAGCGACATCTGGGATTTAATTAACTGTGGAGGCCAACCAAAGCATTCCGTGTTAGACTAAGGAGCTTGGAACGTGTATTGAGATATTCTAAATGCCTGGCATGCAACAGAGTATGGGATTTTGGTTCAAGGCTTAAATTGGATTGCTCAACAATACACATTTGGAACTGAAATGGATAACAAACCGAAGAAGTATATCGATCTCTCCCTTTATTCACCTCTCCCCAGATCCTCCCCCCAGAAGTTATCCAGCAGCCGGTACAAAATAATCACCGAACAATGTGGCGGATACTGCACATCAATACTTCGTAAAACAAGGGTCTGTTCCGAATTGAGCTGCCTCAACGGAGGCCGTTTGAATCACGATGGAACATGCTCCTGTGCCAAGGGCTATTCTGGACAATGCTGTGAAGTGGAACCTGACGGTAAATGATTTGTACGCAATAGGAAACTTTTTCTGTGCTTGTACCGCCCGATGTTAACATGGGTAAATAAGACACGGTTTATATGCATACCCCAGACGAAGTCGAGGGTTTGTACCCGGTGGCTATTCTTGGTGGGGGTGTGCCGCCCGCTTCTCCAAATCCTGACCCTATTTCGGACCAAAAAACGCCATTTTCACACCCGTTTTCAGACCTGCCATGGGCAGAAATTATATCATCATTACTTAGATTAAACACCAAAGAAATCTTAAAATCCATTTCAAATTCGCATATCACCCTTTCTTTCCCATTCATTTCGAATTGAAAGGATAAATCGGCTCATATACTTCCCTCGAAAACCATACCGTATCCCAGACCAAAATGGGAAAAGTCTATACCCGTTTCCAGGCCGAAACGGGGCAAAAACCATACCTTTTGAGGCGACACATATATACCGATATGACTTATATAAGGGACGGTTGTATAACTTTCGAGAATTCACTGATCTTCATTGTAAACGCGTAATGCCGCCTCAAAATTCTAATCAAGATTTGAATCGGGATTCAAATTGTTTATTCCTGACTAAAAGAAGAAAAACCTTTAGGAGCTTTAATTAAGACTGAAGTTTTTAATAGTGGCTGCGCGTCGTATATAAAGTTCTCTGCGAGTGTGAAGGTGGCTTATTAGGCGCCAACGCAGACTTAGGGCTTCGTCACGAGCATTTGAATTCCTTTCCCTTTGTCTGCAAATATTAGCTGGAGATCACGTGCAAAATACCACAGAACCCATTTGACGCTAAGTC